CTGACCCTGCCCTCATCTTCATAGCTTTATATATTGATGAATAGACCGTACGAGAACGTGTTTTAGAGAAACAGTATGTTTGTATTTACCTTTTGCGAAACAGGATGAGCGTTCAATTAATACACACACACACTGATTGTTTTCTTAGCATTTTTCAGGATTTAAACACTTTGGCATGGCAACTGGATGGCAATTACAAATGTCTTCATTCACATAATCATTCACATTAAGATCCTCGGTTACATTTGCTGCTGAACTAATAGTAAAGAGGAAGGGATGATCGTGTTTACTCACGCTGCTGCCGTCGGAATTGAGGAGCCTATACAGCGATGTAGATGCCATTATACAAATCTTAGCGCTAATAGGATATAAGTATGAATTTAGAAAGAAAACCTACCTCTTTACTGTCTGCCATCATCTTCGTCCTCAGGAGAGGGCCAATCAACAGCCAGTTCAAAGACGAGCAGCCAATAGCATTTGTTAACACAACAAGTGTAACCCCTCTCTCCCAGGTCCTCACCTCGTTCTCACTCTGAGTGGGTCTCAAACCCGGGTCTCCGGCATGGGAGGCGGACGCACTAACAAGCAGACTAAAGACTACAGCCTCTAGTGTCAGTCGCTAGTGTGTCTCTTGAGATCAGGGGAGTGAGGTTTACCTGCACAGCACCTACCGCTGGCCTCCGTTACACTCACCCCCCCTAAACCTCACTCCCATCCGGGTCACGGCACCAATGTAACCCCTCTCTCCCAGGTCCTCACCGCCACACCTCGTTCTCACTCCAAGTGGGTCTCGAACCCGGGTCTCCGGCATGGGAGGCGGACGCACTAACAAGTTACATTACACTAGCATATGTTGGGGCCCCGCCCCCTGACTGTCAAAATTTCCTGTGCGAAGAGTTCAGCTCACGCGTGTTGATGTGAATACACACAATCATATTTTTTGTGCTCGAGTTTGGAATTTGCCATTTCTTCAGGTTTACATTTTACGTGCGAGCGGTCACTGTGTGCACAGTACTGTAATCCGCTTGCGCTGTTTTGTCCAGCTTTTAATGTCATACATATGAACTGATTGATTTGGACCTTTAAAAGGATGCATTGAAACCATAGACTATATAGACTACATAGACTAAACCATAAACATGGACGTAGTGTCCGTGACGTCACCCGTAGATTTCCGAAGAGTGTTTTTGAAGCTCAAAAGTGGGAGGAGGCGGCCGTCGCCATCTTGGTAGCACGTCACTCCCAGATAATCGAAAATGGGCAAAGAGGCGGGAGCAGGTTGCTGAAGCCACGCCCACCTAGCTCGCCGGTGGTGACAGCAGCAGTAATCCACCTGTCACTCAAGTGGCCACGCCCTTAATTATGCAGAACTTTAAGGCTTAATATAATTTAAACGGATGAGTTATAAAAAAATTCACCCCCCTCACAGTTGTCATGAAGGGCAAAATTAAAATTCTGCTGTAAAGTTGGGCATTGACTATGGGATCGACTCCCTCTTGCAGCCAGCCTCTAGCGGCCAGTTGATGAATTACAGTTTAAGCCACTTCCTTGTTGGCTTCATGAGAGAGAGCGGGAGGTTGCCGCTT